TATGTTGAAGTAACAATTTATCAGTACAGCATAATGCAGTTCTCAAAAAAAAAAAAAAAGTTCACGACTGGTACATAGACTTTTATAGCAAGCCAGCAGCTTCTCTTGCTTACATGCAAACTGGGAAAAGTCTGTGACAACCCAATCAAAGGGCAAGATGGATTTAGGATTTTTTCTTGGTGAAACAGGAATAGCATGAAAGATGCTTTCAGAGATTTTCACTACTCTTTTCCTTCCAAATTTTTGCACGTTTGGTTTCTCTGAGCTCCATTCAAATCCAGTGTAGTAATCATGATGAAAAGTGCATATCCTTTCCAAAAATAAAGTGACCATGATAGCCATTCTAGCTTGAAAAAATAGTGGCTGAGGTAGAAGCCTTTCCAAACAGCTGAGTAAAGTAGGAGTAAGTCTTGAGGGCTGAATAGATATTTTAGTTTCTGTGAGTAATATTTCTGCATTAGACTTAAACTTATTTACCCAGGGTTAACCATTTATGTTAATTAAATGTATTTCTCAAGTTTTGTTTAGAAATGTATGTCAATTTTGTGAAAATTTAATATGGTTAGAGCATCTTACTGACAGGTGCAAGAAACAGTGCTATGGCTAGGCGCATGCAAAATATATCTAATCAATTTTGATAGGCTGACAGTTCCTATCAATTCTAGTAAATAGATCATATATTATGAAATGTGATACATTGGAGAACTCTGATCAGAGCACTCGCAAAGTTTGTACTTGTTTGTTTTCCAGTAGAAAAATGTGCTGTATTTTCTTTTTTTTTTTTAAGTGATAACTGCCATGTGGTGATGTTAGTTTTGAGGATATTTTTGTGCTTACTGACATATAGTGGCAATATCATGACCTTGTCAGGCTGGAATTCTGTTGTTAAAATTCAAGTCTCTATTGTAACAGACATTTCAAGTGCTTGAAAAGACATTCCACCAATATATCACATGTTTTAAGTGTTGATTTTTTTTTTTTTTTTTTTTTGGGAGGGGGGTGGAGGGTTGGTCCATGGACCAACTTATGCCTCAACTTACATTGTAGACATGGTGCGTTACATATTAACGTATTAAACATATGAAGAGTCATGCAGTGTGTGTTGGTTATTTCTAGTTCATTTTCATCATAAAGTTCAATACTGTTCATTGTTTGTGTTATCCTTCAATGTAAAGACAATTAATAGAGCTTAGAATTTACCTATATAAAGAGGTATTGTGGCAGCTAGCAGTCTTGAAACATATACGTGGTGAATACAAAGTGTGTTATTTCTCCTTTGTGGTCTAAAGAAATCAGTCGAAAGATGCCAAAGTTCAATGAATGTTTTATCCAGGCCTTTATTCCACACATTTACAACTGAGTCTTAACACATTCATAGCTGTTCATAGCTTAAATTATTTGCATCATTCCTCTTTCAAGAATCAGGTTATTTAGAGTAAAAAAAGGAATTTCATAGTCTGTGGAAGAATATTTACTTCTTCTGTTTAAATTGTTGCAAAACAAGAAACTGAAGAAGGGAAAAAACCAACTTGTGGACCGGAAAAATCTTTTAAACCAAATTATGCAAACTGTTGGAAGTATGACAAGGTAAACGTTAATGATGCTTTGGCTCTGTCCAATTATTTGAGGAACTTTTAAATAGTAATTTGCAGTCTAAAATTAAGGAAAAACCTGCTGAGGCACTGGTAAGATTGTATGTTGTCAATAACTTTTGGAAAAAGAACACTTTTGGGCTGGTTGTACGATGATAACATGAAAGGAGACCCTGCATTTTATTTAAACGGAAATTGAGGGATTGATTTTAGAATTTTAATCTTAGATCATAGAGTTCCCTTATTAACACCTGCCCAAGCTCTGCTGGGGGTGAAAGTGAGATATCTTTCTTAGGATTACCAACTGAGACTTCTTCATCAAAGAAACAAAAACAGCTTTGTAACTTTTGTATTACTTGAGATTAAAAATATTTTAGATATATCCATGACAACTAAACATCATGGAAATGAGTATTTTGGTACCTTTGGATATGATTGGTTGTCCCTAGGGAGGAGTACATATCACGTGATGTAGCAGAGTTGAAGTGTGTTTGTTTGCAGTTGAAACTTGCGTTGTGGTGCTTTCGACGATTCCAAATTACCTGAACATGGCTTCGGAAGGTAAGAATTAAAGTTCTCTGCTAGGTGAAAAGAAATTAGAAAATTAAATTTCACGATAGTGTAATTGCAGCGCAAATTTTAGCATTTATGGGGATAAAAAAATGAATTTAGATCGTTTAAGCGTTCCCAAAGATTACGTTTTTAGCCAACTCCTGAGGCGAAAGTTTGTCGTTTCTTCAACATTAAACATTCAAGTTTGTTGTCGAATAACGATTTCCCACTTGAACCATCCTTTAGTTTGAAAAGAACACGATTAAAATTGTGTCGAAAGACCATCTTACTTCAACATAACAGATCGCCAGAAGTGATGATGCTGCAACTGGGAAATTAATTAACATTACCCGATCCTACCTCGCTCTATGATTTATGTGCCGTTAAAAGATGCGTTTTGTGAAAAACTTACTTTATTTCCTTCCCTGCGACTGTGCTTAAGGAGTTTGAAACAGGAGCTATTATTACTGCATTGCGTCAGTGCCAAACGTGGATCATGGAAATTGATGCAACGAAAGGAAACCTACAGAATCGTTTAATTATGATGCGCAATAAATATGTTGCTTTAACGTGAACGTGAAAGTTTTGAATCAGACAGTAACTGTAAAACTAAAGGTGGTGGTGATACATGATAAGGTGTAATTAAAGTTTTTAAATCGCTCGAACTTTGGAAATAGTTCTAATTCCCTAACGTCATCTATTGCACTTGTTAATTTCAAGCTTGAGTGAGTTCAGTTTGTAGAATATTTGGGTTCAATTATTTGTGTACATTGTGTAGTAAATGAAATCGAAGCTTCGAGACATCTTCCTCAGATATGTCCTACTGTCATTAGGTAAGAACCTTCCCAGATGTGTAAGTGTATCACATCTTTGCCTTTTTTGGGGTCGATGAATATTTTAACATTGTATCTTTTGCAATTACAATGGAGAGTTAATCAATGAAGGCACTTCCAGTGTTGACCATGACTTTTCAACTGAATCACCTCTAGTCTTGTGCAAGCAGTGACATATATTGGTTAATGCAATAAAGTATGCTCTGTTGTGTAGTTTTGTACATCGGTAATTAGAGCATTTTCTTGATGTGATCTCTTAAGTGTTTTCCCACAGTATTTTTTTAATTCACCAATTTCAAGTTTGTTGTTGATGTAGTATTTTTGTGTTATTTATAGATGATGATGTTTCACGCGGGTTTTGTGACTATGTTCTGACATTTCTGTCTTTCCTTATCTTCGTTTGCACTCTGCCTTTTTCATTGTGTTTTACTTTGAAGGTAAGTAAATAGGTGAATGTAATGAGAGATTTCAGAGCATGAGTACTCTGGTCTGTGCCCTTTCAACATAGCTTGGTATGTTTTCATCATACTTTGATAAGAGTACATTATTCAATCAAAGATGTGCACAAACTTCAGGTAATAACGGATTATTTTGTATGCAGATTGTGCAGGAATATGAGAGAGCAGTTATGTTCCGTCTTGGTCGATTACTTCCTGGAGGAGCAAAAGGGCCAGGTATAATGCAACACCAAACACAAATAACTAAGACCAAACAGCTTTCCTTATAAGAGTATGAAGTAAATATTAGGGCATGATATATAATAGCTACAAACTGTAACCACAAGGAAACTGATTTACTGAGGGAAAATTTACATGAAATCATCCGTATTTGGGTTGAAAATTAGAAAACGCTCAAAATGGCAAAACATTTTGGTGCATAAATCAAATCGTAAACATGCATAAAAATCAAGGATTTCATATATTTTTTCATACATTTCATTTTGATTTTTTTTTTTTCTTTCAATGAGCAAAGAGATCAAGGGTTATTTTTCTACAACGTTTGATTGTTGGCCCACACAATGAGGGCAACAAGCCACAACCCTTGCCAACAGTGTGGTGCATCTCTTCTTAATGTAAGCTGTTTTTAGAACAATATTTTGATGGGGCACAGATTACAAAGATTATGAATAACCCAATCAAACTGTAGAATATTCCAAAAACTAAAGATGCAAAATCATATTAAACTCATATGATAGTTTTAAATAGTACCATCATAAACTTTATGTGAAGAAATGCTGCCAAACAAATTAAAAATGATTCCACATCCATCAGTAGTGTACCCACTGATAAGTGCTCTTGGGATTATTAGCTTGGGATTCCCTTTCTGTTTCTTTAGGCTAGCTATCATGGGAAAACCTTTTGTTCTCCTGACAGATCCCAGCTCCATTAGCTAAAATTTCCCCAAGGTAATTTACTTTGGTAAAACTGGTCACACCGGCAAATTCAAGTTTCCCTCTGGGTTGTCTGTTAGCAAGTATTATTTCCTAAGGGCAAAAGTCTAGTGATGGTGACCACAGCTATCACAGATAATTCTCAAATTCATTAAAAATTCATGAGGGAAACAGCCAATAAATTAGGCATATTTGGGTCACATGCATGAAACTTTGATACCTAGTGAATGCTCAGATAAAAATCTTCAGGGTTTTGATCTTAGATGAAACATGGTTTTGATCTCAGATCAAATACTTTAATTTTAATGAGCATTTTCAATAATTAATATACTGTTATCATCAATTCCAAAAATGACCCAAATAGTATTGCATAAACGGTCTTCAGTCGATATCTCTTCCCCAATTTCATGGCTTCCTCCATCACAGACTTGCTTAGCCAGTAATTCAAGGTTACTGCATCTATTTCTTCAATGCTGGTAGAAAGCTATGCGACCTTGAGTAAATCATAGTCTTTAACCCCTTAATAGCCACAGCTTTTGTGAAAAAATGTGTTTTGAAGCTAGTCAAGCAGATTTCGGGTCGCTGTTGTGGTTTTAAAAGCTCAAACTTACCACAAACCCATTCACAGCTTGTACACTCGACGGCCTTTCGATCCAAATGTAAAATGGCGGCCTGAAAATCTCGGGCAGGTGCAGAAAGCAAAATTTCCAGATTTCTCCTGCCCTTTTTTCCCCTTTCTTTGCCTGAAGTTTCTCCTCACTTGCTGGAAATTTAGTGGGCTTCATTTTGGTGTAGAGATTTTTTAGTAAACTACTCATTATTTTCAAACCACATGCTCAGAAAGGTAGGTGGGTAATGGAACAAGATTTTCGTGCAGATTTTCAGGTCAAAGTTACATGGTTTTTTTGGCTATTTCTCCAATCTCCTTCACTCAATGGCACTCATTCTGGTATCATTTGTAAGGTATTTTCAACCTGTTTAAGTACGTACTCAAAGTCGTGCTCCAGGGTTAAAAGTGATGATGTCACAAGGCGTAGAAAGAGTGTGGTTCCACATGGGCACTTACGGGTGCACTGGACATCAATAGGTTAAAGAGCACCCCTAGATTGAAAATGGGAGCTATAACTGACTGAGAAATTTGCCATTTGCCAAAAACTGTTAATGCCCATTTGTTCTTACATTTGGTAGGTGATGGAATAAGTTTTTGACCAACTCATGCTCTCCATCTTCACTCATGGTTACACCCGAACTACACCAAAACAATTTATCGTGCATGCATGTTTGTGTGATGTTACAGAAAAGGGAAAAATTGCATTGCTGCATAAATTAATTTTCTTTCATTTGGAGAGGACAATGGAAAAAATTTGTCACTGCATATATTGTTTTGTTTTATTTGAGAAGTCATCTCAAACTTGTGCTTTGGGTTTCATCAGGGGTTCCAAAGACCTTAAAACAATAAAAGCACACGGCCTGCAGCCTTGTTCTTCCATCAATTTCTTGGTGTTTGGAACTCCAGATGAAACACTCCCGGTCACTTTTGAAATATTACTTGGAAATTGGTATCGTATTTAATTTAGGGTTTTGTCTAGATCCTCATCTTGTTCTTGACTGATGGTAGAACAATATTGGTACAATTTTAAAATAAATAATTTGTACCTTGAAGCCTACTGTTAGTCATGAATAGTGATTGTTACTTGCAGCTATTCTACATAGGGCTGGCATAGATGATCACACCTCACTATCAATTGCAGTTTTACATGAACAGTAGACTTTGTTTTGTGTATGGTATATTATTCTATCTTCTGATGATTTCTTTCTGTTATTTCCATGTAGGGTTATTCTTTATTCTGCCCTGTATTGACTCCTATCAGAAGGTGGATTTGAGGACAGTGTCATTTGATGTCCCGCCACAGGAGGTATTGACGGTTCTATGTGGTTGTTTGATTTATTGTTTGAAGTTTGGTGTGTGGTGACAGTGTGGTTAGATTTTATAGCAACTAAGTATCATTGCTGGCTTTCAGATTCTGACCAAAGACAGTGTAACTGTTGCAGTGGATGCAGTTGTTTATTTCCGCATCAGTGACCCAACCATGTCAGTTACTAATGTGGAAAAGGCTGACCAGTCAACTCGCCTGCTTGCGCAGACAACACTGCGGAATTTTCTTGGCACCAAGAATCTCAGTGAAATTTTGGCAGACCGTGAAGAGATCAGCCACGCCATGCAGGTACAGACAAATTATTGAAATAATTGATTTATGTTTCTTGGAAATAAGTGGACTTGGGTTTATGTATTTGTTACACTTTGCAGACTTCTCTTGATAGTGCTACAGATCCTTGGGGTGTTAAAGTGGAACGTGTTGAAGTGTAAGTACCTTTATGTATAACTTTTGCACCCTAAACTAGCTGAACTGAGCAATGGAGCTTTGAGTGTTTGGTACAAAAGGTCAACACAAAGAATACTGAATTGGCATCTAAGAAAAAGCATAAGTCTCAGTCTGGGAGCTTTGTATTAAGACTTAAAAACAGCAGATATACAGACTGGTTGGTCTTTCTGTAAGAACTCTCTGTTTGCTTTTAGTGATGATGTAATAGAAGATTTAGAATGCAATTTTTGTGTAAAAAAACTATTTACATGAAAATATGACTTTTTGAAGTCATCTTAAGGTTACTTCCTACTTTCGTGGTTGTGCTTCGGGAAAAAATTCGTATGCGCGCTAGTTTGAAGAAAACCCTAACAAACTACACATCAAAACAAAGCTTAATTAATGCAGTTTACAATAGAAATATAATTTAGGCGATATTTTTAGTTAGGAAGTGTCAGGAGCTGGTAAGGCGTGAAACGACCGAGCCGGAGTCCTTTTGAATTTATCGGGTATCGGATCCTGCGGCACGAGAAAAATGGCTGCACAGTCTCATTCACGAGGCATCAATCAACAAAAGTGTGTCAGGCTTTTCCGATATTCTGATTGGTTGTCTAGATAAATTCGTTCAAAGTGGATGTATTCCTCTCAAAATCAAATGCGAGATTTTAGCTCCTAAAGGTTTGTAAACAAGTAGCGCCACATCAAGAGATTATCTCGCCTCCTGAAACCGCAAACCAATGAGAAGACGGCACCTCCCAGCGTCAGTGACAATGGATCAAGATTTTCCCGCGAAAAGTATCGCGTAGTAGTCACGTTTTTTTAGCTCGCTTTGTTGATCATTTAGTGATGGACAAAGTCGGCGAAGGAAAAACCCACGGTATAAAGGGTAAATCTGCCGCATTCTTCTTTTTCTCCATCGGTTTCATCAGATTCCGACAAAGAATCTTGTTTACAACCTTCTGTGGAGTTGACTTTAATTTTTAAGCTGCTTGCCCCAATGGTAATCGAATGCTGCCTAGCTTCAGCAGATGCCGAGCTTGTCGAAAGCTCCTGGCCAAACCAAGAGCCTTTGTCGCTTTCATCAAGGACTGTTTTTTTTTGTTTGTTTGTTTTTTTGACAAAATGCTGCCATTTCTCTTTTCTTTGGGCCTGGTTTTTTCCTTTTCTTTACGCAAGGACTCCTCTCTAATTTTGAGTTATGTTTGTTATCCACGAGAAAAGACTTTCCACGAGCAGATAACTTCCACATGTAAATTTTGTCATTTGGTTATATCAACTTAGTTGAAATTGTAAATTGGCCACCGCAACAAATATCGCTCTGACGAAGGGCTAAAGCTCGAAACGTCAGCTTTTTTTATTCGTTACGGTGGCCAATTTACAATTTCAACTTAGTTGATACAGTCCAACCCCTATTAAGCGGCCACCCCTTATTAAGCAGCCAGTTATTGCAGTCCCGAAATTATTTTCAGTTAAATATTATAAATGAAACCCCAATTAAACGGCCACCCCTATTAAGCGACCGCGGCCACCTTTTGGTCGTCCCGATGGAGGTTTTTATTGTTTTTTTACCCCTATTAAGCGGCCACCCAAAATTAAATATGCGTGCTTTGGATTTGTTTGTGATAAGGTGATGACAGATAAGAATCCGAAATAGACAGCAACGACTGCCAAATATATCTAAACACGCGTTTATTGAACCGCTTCGAGCTCCAAAGCGACAAACAAGTCTCCAGGATTAGTTTAAGTAACGATCTTTTACTTTTGCGACATGTAGGATAGTTTTGTCGATATCGAGAATTTTATGTGTTATTTGGCTCTTGTTGAGACCTCATCGTCAGATTTCCTTAAAATTGAACTTATGCAATTAATCACTGAATTAATATTACCATGACGTTTCCCCCACCGACACAGCACCTTGCTACCCCCACCGACACAGCACCACAGTTTCTTTAGAATCTTTCAGCCTTTATAAATTTTGTCATGTGTGCGATGTAAAAAAATATGCAAATGACATGAAATTGCCGTGAATATTACCCTGGGGGTTCGCCCATTTTACGGAGATTGTAACACCTTCCTGATCTATTAACTTTTACTTGAAAATATGTTTTTCTAAATAAGTCAGACGCTTTTTGAGATTTTTAAATTTTTAGTTAAAATGTTTAACTTCAATCTAGTCCAAAAAAAAAAAAATCGATTTTTTCGGCCTCTGAAGGTAGGAAGTAACCTTAATTTCACTTTGTTCACATTCTCAATTTTGTAAGGAAAGGCATTAATCGTCTTCTTTATTTGAGTACAAGAACCCAAACCATCCATCCAGTCAGATTTGCCAAGCTCATGTAAAACATGCATTGATACATAGTTGAGTAAATAACCCTCTCCTTTATTTCTCTAGAGGCGGAAATATTTTTTCGAGTAACTTTGATCAAAACATCCTTTGTAGCACTAATTACTCATTTAACCTTACAGGAAAGACGTACGTCTTCCTCAACAGCTGCAGAGAGCTATGGCAGCAGAGGCTGAAGCTACTCGTGATGCTCGTGCAAAGGTAGATATCAGCTAACTTGTAGAGGACAGTGGAAACTGCTGAAAAAGCTTGTATCAGTATGAACACTTTGATCAAACAGTGAGAGAATGTTTGACAAGACAAGAGAAGGCTTTTACCAAGGATATCTTTTATTGACTACTTTTTCGATTTCAGGTCATTGCTGCTGAGGGTGAACAGAATGCATCTCGGGCATTGAAGGAAGCTGCTGACATCATTTCAGAGTCTCCTTCTGCTCTTCAGCTGCGATACCTACAGACACTGACGTCCATTTCAGCTGAGAAGAATTCCACCATTATTTTCCCACTCCCTGTTGACTTTCTGAGCAGATTTTTGCCAGATGAAAAGAAATGACTAGGCAGCCAAAAACAAGAAATTGAGGAACACTCTTTTGAATCACCATTGACTGAAGTTAGTGTTCTGTAAACAAAACTTGCTCTGAGAACATTTAAAAAATACACAGTGCTGTACATAATCCTGCTCATACCACAGTAAGCAGTTATATATCATATTGATTAATACATTGGAATCTTCCGTCAGATTATTTTAACTTGGCCAATAATTAAGCCAACATCAAATTTGTTGACTACATTTTCTCTGTTGATGAATTTATTGTTAAGGTTATACAGGGTTCGTACAGGTCATGGAAAACCTGGAAAGTCATGGAATTTCAAATTTTCATTTTCCAGGCCTGGAAAGTCGTGAAATTTAGGTGTAGGTCATGGAAAGTCATGGAAAATCAATATGCTCTCTATGGGTGAAAGGCAATAATAATAATTATTTAAACAATCTTTAAGGAGGAAGTGCCCGTCACATAAATACGTGGTTTTCAGGGAGGTCCTCCGTAAAAATACGACCCAAAGTTGAAAAGTTAACTGACGAGTCCAAAAATCAGCTTTAATTTCATTATAAATAAACAGAAGCACACATTGTGAGAATGTTTGCAAACATAAATTGTTTTTTTATCATTACTGTCAGAGAACAATACCATTATTTATTGCTTACGGTAGGTCATGGAATCTTTCAAAAGGTCATGGAAAAAGTCATGGAAAGTCATGTAATTTTAACAGGTCGAAAGTGTGCGAACCCTGTCATAGTTTTGATAAAAATTTTAAAACAGTAAATTGAATTAAATACACTGTTTTGAGTGTATAAAAGTATATGGTAAATAGATTCACCTTCTAGTGGCAGAATAAATGAGCAGTCTAATACTGCGTGGTGTGTGGTTAAGTGAAAATCACAAACTAGAAGTGTTCAAAGGTCTTTCTGATTGAGTGCTGTGGGACCAAATTAAAGTTATCACCTCAGGAGATCAAAGCAGAGAGAACCTCTACAACCAGTGAGAACTCAAAGTCTGTACACTCCCAGGAGACATTTTGAGAGTGCTCTTTTGTCAGTCGTTCTACCACTTAAATTTTAGTCATGCTCTTACCAATGTTTCTTGTTTATTATGCTAGTTGGGCAACAGAGGTAGGGTTTATAGTTAACATGTTACTGTGTCACATGAGTGTTAGCTGTAGTATTGTCATATGCAGCTCTCATGAAGACAGTGTGGAAAACTGATCATTCTGTCTGAAGTCTGCTCGTATGTTTGATGAAAGTTAAATGTTGTTTAGTATCCAATAGCACTAATTTAACATCAGTGTGTATATTTAAGATAACATTTACAGTCAGTTAAGAATAATTAACTGTTTAGCAACAAGATTTGAGGCATCATAGCTTTCCCATGACTCAAACATTTGATGTAAATCACTTGTGAATGGAAGGCACGTGCACAGATGATTCTTGAACCTGCTTGTTAACGAATTGTTTTTAAAATGTGTTTTAATTGGTGCCAATTTTGTACCATTTTTGCAAATTGTGCTGTCTTTTGTTCTTAACTGTTCAATTAGAGTAGCAAAAGATGTAACATATGGTTAAACCTACAATTGATGTTAAATTTCAACAATTTAAGTGAAAATTAAAGCTACCTTATTGTATGGTCAAGTTATTTTTGTGTTTTATTTTTTTATATACATACCGTATTTATTCATCTTTAAGCCGAGCGATTTTTTCACAAAATTTTACCAAAATCTCGAAAACTTGAGCTAGAGAAGGGTTCTCGGCTTATTGCGGAATGTTTTTCGAACAGCAAATTCAAAGGAAACATAGATATGTTCGTCTATAAGCCGAGATATTGCATGAAAAAGTAAATAACAAAACAAGTTGAAGTTGGTCATTGAGTTTAGGTGATTGCTTCAAAAGGAGCGGTTTGTTGTTTTCGGCGCGTAGTAATTACGGCTACTGTTCGTCCTCAGTGTCGGCGTGGAATTCGTCGTCCATCTCCTTTTCATCCGCTAGTTCTGCCGTTTCTTCCGAGTAGATTACTTCATCTTCCATGCCATCTAGGTTCTTTTTTAAGTCTTTAAGTCTTCATTCAATATACAAGTAAAAATACATACCTATATTTACATGTTTAAATTATTAATTAAAAAGTTAAAAAGCGAAAGCATATTTAAAATACATAATTGATGGCGTACGTTCAAAACCTGTCGATGTGACTTCAGGGGTACCTCAAGGCACAGTACTTGGTCCATTAATGTTTTTGTTATTCATTAATGATATGCAAAATGGGCTAGGATGTACACTAAGATTGTTTGCTGATGATGCTTTATTGTATCATAAAATCTCTCATCATGATGACACCTTGACTTTACAGCGTGATCTAGATAAGCTAGGCCTTTGGGCTAACAGGTGGCAGATGCTGTTCAATCCTTCTAAATGCTACAAAATGTCTGTTTTCCGTAGTAGATCCCCGGTGGTTAAAGACTACACCCTTTACAACCAAACCCTGGTATCTGTTCGACAACATCCTTATTTAGGTGTTTTGCTGTCCAGTAATCTGCGGTGAAACTCTCATGTGGACAAGATTGCTAAAAAGGGGAACTCTTCACTTGCGTTTGTGAAAAGGAACTTGTATGCCTACTCTGAAGAAGCCAAACGTGTAGCATATGTAGCACTTGTCAGGTCACATTTAGAGTATGCGTCTGCAGTATGGGATCCTTATAGACAAAATCAAGTGGAGAAACTAGAAGCTATCCAAAGTCGCGCAGTGAGATTTATTAAACATGATTATAGTTATAACACCAACGTGTCCAATTTGAAGGAATCCCTATCTTTGGATTTACTAAGCGAGAGAAGAAAATCCCATCGTCTACAAATTTTCCATAAAATCTGTGAACAATAGTATTGCTTTGCCTCTCCCGTCTTATTATCAATTGTCTATTAGGGAAACTAGAAATTATTCGACGAATTCCTTTATTCAACCATCTGTACATCATGATTACTACAAGTATAGCTTCTTTCCGAGAACTGCAAGGGACTGGAACTGTTTATCACCTGGAACTAGATCACTTAATTATTCAGCTTTTTGTAGTACAAAATTTTTTTAAGTTTTTTATTTCTAAGTATAGCTATATTGTTAATTACATATTTTATTTATTTATTTATTCTTTTTATTGGCTATGTTTATATTTTTATTCTTTTATCTCTTCTTGGTGTGTAATAGCGTTGAAGAGTATTAAAATAGATGTAGATGACCAATCAGAATTGCCCATTCCCACGATTGGCAGACAAACTTCTCAAATGTTACGGTGTTGAAATTTGCGATCACGTAAAAAGAAAACTTACCTTGGCTTCTCTGCTCTGTAATCCAGTAAAGTAATCTCTCATCCAGCCGCGGATATTTCGGAGTGTAACGGGCCCATCGTTGTGCGTTTCGCTGACATCTCGAGCTCTCTATTAAAGAGATTCTCTTGATCTTTCTTCAAGCGACTCACTGATGACTTACCCTCTGGTTATCTCGGAATTGTTTTGGACGGCAATACTGCATTGAAACTCTGTTCCGTTTCGAAACTTTTGCGTTCATTTCAGTTTGTTCCAGAATGGAATTCTCTGAATATGGTCTCGGCTTATAGCCGAGTATTTTCAATTTACATGTTTTGAGAACCTTCCCGATTAAAACAGACCGACGTTCAGGGTCTCAGCTTATAGCCGAGTATTTTCAATTTACATGTTCTAAGAAACTTCCCAATTAAAACAGACCGAAGTTTAGGGTCTCGGCTTATAGACGAATAAATACGGTATATATATCTATATATATAACAAGTTAAAAGGCCTCGAGCCAACAGTGACGCCGCGCCAGA